TTTTTTTTTTTTTTTTTTTTTTTGGGACGGAGTTTCGCTCTTGTTACCCAGGCTGGAGTGCAATGGCGCGATCTCGGCTCACTGCAACCTCCGCCTCCTGGGTTCAGGCAATTCTCCTGTCTCAGCCTCCTGAGTAGCTGGGACTACAGGCACGCACCACCATGCCCAGCTAATTTTTTGTATTTTTAGTAGAGACGGGGTTTCACCGTGTTGACCAGGATGGTCTTGATCTCTTGACCTCATGATCCACCCGCCTCGGCCTCCCAAAGTGCTGGGATTACAGGCGTGAGCCACCGCGCCCGGCCGAGAAAAAAATTTTGAAAAGAGAACACTCAGTGTTCAGCTGGATATGGAGAAAAAGGTATTCTAAAGCAGCATTAGTAGGAATGCATATTAATAAATCTTTCCTGGAAGGCAGTTTGTTTGAGCCGGGAATTCCACTCCTAGAAAGGTAGTAAATACTTGCGTGGACATAAGAAATATAAATAAGAGCAAGTCCTTTTAATGTTGTTTCTAACATGGAAAAATTGGAAACAACCTAATATTCACTACTAGGAACTGATATAGGTAGGACATATTCATTCAATAAGATTCTGTGGAACTGATAAAAGGATGGTTGTAATTCATCTATTGCCATGGGAAAAATGTCCACAATTTGTATTTAAATGGCAAAAGCATGGTAAATATTGAGTTTTATTATCTCAAAACAAGGAATTTAATTTATGTATTCAAGACTTCTTTAACGGCTCCACAATGGAGTTTTACAGTTTTCTTCCAAAAGGCCCTTTACATTTTTGGTTAATTTTGTTTCTGAATATTTTATTTTGTGATGCCAATATGAATGGAAGATTTTCTTCCATTAAATTCCCTATATAAATTTCTGTATAGCTTATATAAAACCTCTTATTGTTTATGTAAGAAATCCTCTGATTAGGCTGGGCATGGTGGCTCACGCCTGTAATCCTAGCACTTTGGGAGGCCGAGATGGGTGGATCACCTGAGGTCAGGAATTCAAGACCAGCCTGGCCATCATGGTGAAACCCCATCTTAAAAAAAAAAAAAAAAAAAAAAAAACTCTGATTTTGCATATTAACTTATAATTAGGTATCTCAATAAATCATGTTACTGTTTCTAGCAGTTTGATAGCTGTACCTACCCATTCTACTTTTTATGTTTTCTTTGGTATTCCTAGAGAAGAGCTGTTAAATATCACTGCAGTTCAGTGGAATTTTATTGCTGAACACCTGGGAAAAGGGAAAAGAGAAAAGGGAATCATAAAATTACATAAATTTGGAAACAAAATCAAACAATTATGTGGCCCCCAAACTTAGGTTCCTAAAGTCATTCTCAGTCTAGGCAGTGGTGCTCCCTCACTTTTTTAGGCAAACAAATCTTTCTGCAAATGAAACTTTGGACAGGAGCACAATGTCTACAACAGAGCTGATTTGACTGACCCTGTGGGTAAGGGCAATTGCAGCATCCTGGGTAAAGGGGAAGCCTCCTCTGAACGTTTGAGAGACTTGAGAAGAACAATGCACCAAGCACATTGAGTGCTTGGTCTGAAAATCTGTACAGCTTTCTGCTCCTCTTCCCCTTTCATTCCTGAAGATGGAGCTCCTGAGGCTGAGCACACATTATTTTTCTTCTTTAGTCTTGACTCTTCTCTGGAATTTGTATTTCTCTTCTGCCATAGAGATCAGTCTATTTCAATGATTAGGGTCCCCAAGATAACTTTTAGACACAAAAACAGGGAATTTGTTCACAGTCTTTGTGGAATGTTTCATGATCATCTTATCCTGGGATTCGATTTGGCTTCAAGGAACCAGAAAATAAAACACTGTGCATGATGATTCTTTGCTTTAAAATTTATGTAATCAATTCTTGAGAATTCTTATCTTTTTAAGCTTAAAAATATGCCACAGTAACGAAAATTCCATTGTTTCTGCTGATTCTATGTCCTCCTGAAAGTTATCAATTTAACAAAGGCCTCACTCTGCATGCCCACAGTTGCTTGATGAGGGAGAGCTTCTCCACTAGTCAGGAAAATCAAAGCAAATCAAAACTGGAGAGAAAGCAAAAAATATTCAAACAGTCTAGACCCAGGGTAAGGCTTTACAAGAGCAAGGCTTTCAATCGAAACTGTGCCTGGTACAAATCATTCTTCAAGGTCCATTTACATAATTGGCTTAACTTCGAGGTCTGCCGTCTGGCAAGCACCCGCTTATAAATTTGGTTCTTCCAGTCCTATGTTAGGCAGAGCTGGCAGCTGTGCTTTGAAATTTCTCCTTTTACTATCCTGGCACGCTTCTACATGTGCTTGCATAAAACTCCATCTGGTAGTATATGGGGTGATTTTCACTGGAAGACTGCATTTGGCGAGTAGATGAGATAATGCATCAGAAGTTTTCCACGTGATGAAATTGCATCTCCGAGCATTATACTTTTTGATTAACTGACTAGGCTAACCTACATTGTTTTTGAGCAAAAGCTTTCTATTCAAATCATGTCTTATGGCAGAGGGAGCTGTCATGCTCTGAACTATCACACTGACCGGGGGGCTTTCTGCAAAATAAACTCTGTCAGCTGCCAGAGCTCTATAGAAAGTAAAGTATGGCACAGAGATTAAGTGAGTGTGTTTGATAACTGCTCTGCCACCATTGGTGTAAAGAGAATAAATATCCAGCTGAGAAAATTATAGGTATCCAAACTCACATGACTTAATTGAGCTTAGCCAAGACTGAATGCCCTTGTCATTTTGCCCAAAGCATGCCCTGCTTTCATTTCCCTTTCTTAAAATGTTATTGTACACCCATCCTCAGACTTAGGTTAAGCAAACTACGTTAAATTCTGGTTTTCTGTCTGGGTTTAAGTGCAGACTTAAAAGCTACATAGGGCAATACTTCGTCTCACAGCTTGATGCCACACATACAAGTTCTATTGCTATCATTTTCTTTCTGTCAGAGAACTTTCCCATTGATTCTGACTATATTGCACATTTGTTTTATGCATCAGGTGTTGCTTATGAAAAGTCTCATATCTTCTGTTTTTCTTTCTTTTGTAAATAGTCTGTGCTTTTATTACTGGTAGATCTTAGGATTGTTTGTATCCCTAGTGTTTTGAGAGGTTTTTTTCCCCCTAGTGTTAACACTACAATTGGTTAACATTTGTGAAAGACGTAAGGTTTGTGTTTAGGTTCTTTTTTTTTTTTTTTTTTTTTTTTTTTGCATAGGGATTTACAGTGCTTCTGTTATCATTTCTTTTGCTATTGAATTGCCTTTGCTCCTTTGTCAAAGACCTGTGTGAGCCTATTTCTGGGCTCCTTATTCTGTTCCATTGATCTATGCCAATCTCATGTGTCTATCCTTCCACTAATACCATGTTATCAGTTTTCCCTCTGTCTTCGTTCATTTTCTGTCACTATAATAGACTACTTAAGACTGGATAACTTATAAAGATAAAAGGTTTATTTCTTCCAGCTCTGGAGACTGGGAAGTCTACGATCAGGAGCCACATCTTGTCAGCTTCTGGTAAGGGCCTCATGATGTGTCATAACATGGCAGAAGGCATCACAGGGCAAGACGGGTACACTGAGCCAAACCGACTTTTATAACAGACTTGTTCTTACGATAACTAACCATTCCTGTGATAATCCATTAATCCATGAATGTATTAATTCATTCATTAGAGCAGAGCCCTTATGACCCAATCACCTCTTAAAGGCCCCACTTCCTAATACTGTTAGACACTAGGATTTCAGTTTTGACATGAGCTTTGGAGAAGCCAAACATTCAAACCATAGCACTCCCCAAGAAAGGTTTACAAATATACACTTTTTTTTTATGTTTGGGGTATGAGTTATATAGATAAATTCACGTCAGAAGGATTTGTTTACAGATTGTTTCATTGCCCCGGTATTAAGCCCAGTACCCAATAGTTATATTTTCTGTTCCTCTTCCTCCTCCCACCCTCTACCCTCAAGTAGAACCCCATATCTGTTGTTTCTTTCTTTGTGTTCATAAATTATCATCCTTTAGCTCCAACTTATAAGTGAGAACATGTGATATTTGGTTTTCTGTTCCTGTGTTAGTTTGCTAAGGACATAGCTCTCAACTCCATCCATGTTCCCACAGAAGACATGATCTCATTCTTTTTTATGGCTGCATAGTATTTCATGATGTCTCCGTACCACATTTTTTTAATGACATTGTTTTACATTGACCTTTTCCCTACTTCCCCAGAATGACTAACTGTTATCTGTCTTTTTAAATATTTTTCCAATCTGTTAGATTCCTCCCCACAAAAAAGCCTTTCTTTTTTTTTAAAAAAAAAAAAGTCTACTTGCACTTTAATGTAATATATTCCTTGTATTTTTAAGTGATTTATCAGTACCATTTACATGCTGTGTTGACCTTTTGTTACCAATTTGCAACTAGTTCCTTCCAGTTTCTTAGTTGCCTTCTAGCTTTTTTTTTCCTTTTAGTATACAGAAACTCTTCATTTTTATGTAGTAAAACCTGTCTTTTAGGTTTCATGTCTGGCGTAAACGTTTTACTTCTGCATTTCGTTTCTTACTTAGAAAAGCCTTCAACACCTACCAGGGGCCTGCAAATCAAATTCTTAATCTAATTGTAGAAGCATGTGGAATGCGTGGCTTACATATTTTCATTTGAAATTTTCACTTTCTTATCTGAATATTCTTTTCTTTTCCACATTTTTACTTTTCTTAATGTTATTTAATATTGAATTTACCTTATATATGTAATACCACCTCAATGAAAGTTTGTTTCTTACAGGAAAAATGTTTCTAGAATACAGTGAGTAAACATAAATATACATTCCACTCCCAGTTATATACTCGAAAGAATTGAAAGAGGCATTCAAACAAAAAGTTGTGTGCAAATGATCATAGCAACACTATTCATAATAGCCAAAAAGTATAAACAACCCAAATGTCTATCAAATGATGAATGGATAAAGAAAATGTGGTAGATCATACAATAGAATATTATTCAATCATAAATAGGAATGAAATACTGATACATGCTACAATCCAGATGAACCTTGGAAACAGAATGCTAAATGAGAGACCAGACACAAAAATTTACCTATCATACAATTTCATGTATATGACATCAGGAGTAGGTACATCCATAAAGTCATAAAGCAGATTATGGTTTCCAGGGCCTTTGCGACAAGTGTAATGGACTGCTTAATGAGTATAGGGTTTCCCTTTGAAGTGGTAAAAATCTTTTGGAACTAGATAAAAGCTGTAGTTGCAAATGTTTGTGCGTATACTACATGCCACTGAATTGTACGCTTTCAATGGTTTTTATATGTTACCTGAATTAACTCAGTTTGTTCTTCAAAACTACAAATATATCAATAAACATTTCTTTCTAAAGTGGAAATCTTAATCTCTACCTACCACAAGTAATTGTTCTGCTGCTTAGATGATATACAGTAAGTAAAAATATTATATAAATACAAAATATCATAATATATTTATATATTGCATATATAAATTAATATATTATATTAATATAAAGGTAATACTCTATATTTATATATCATATATACGCTAATTGTATTGTGGTTAGTTTTCTATCTGGAACAAATTTTGCCTTCCTTTCAAAAACTCTCAGCTGTGGTTCATCATATGTAAATACGTTAGGATGACAAACCACTTGGCCTTCACCACTGCTGTGCCTGGAATTTCAATATAAAAAAAGTCATGGTTATAATTCTACCCCATCTCTGAACCTGCTCCGATTAGCAGCAGGCAGCTGATATTCCTACCAACTAGATTGCAGACTGTGTGGGCCCTAAAAAGCACAAAAGGGAATAACTGTGAGCGCTTCCCTAAAGAAGACTTCACTTCAGTGCTTCCATGATAGTGTTGCTTCTGCATATTGTTAATCAAAAATTAAATTTTTGAATAAGTATTTCAAAATTTTTGAGCACCAACTATAGGCCAGTCACCATTCCAGGTACTTGGGATACATTCATCAACAAACTAGTCAAAGATGCCAGCTGTTATGGGTCTTGCCTTCTGCAAAGGGTGAGAGAAAAATAAATAATAAAACTTAATAAGGAAGTAGATTTTATAGTCTGTTGGAAGGTGGTAGAGTGTGGGGGAGAAACAAAAGCTAAGGAGCATTAGAAGTCTAACAGGTTGGCATTTTTAATGAGGTCATCAGGTAAGCCTCTGGAAGAGTGGCATGCAACAAGGACATTAAGGAGGGAA